ACAACAAATATATTTCGAGTAAAATCAGTGAATATGAAACGAAACGATTTGTCGAAATATGATTCCTTCTATCTCAGAATCATTGAACAGGTTCATTGCCTATTACAGCCAGGCTTTCTGCCAACTGATATATCTCACCGGTAATAATAATAATAAAAGCAGCTTTATTCCAAACAGTATTTGTGGTACAAGTATGGAAATTTCAGCGTGCATTACAGTATATTGCATCTAATTATCTCATAAATTTTATAAGATTTTAAAATCAAAAGGAACCCCAAAAAGATAAATAAAACAGAAGAAATAAAAACCACAACGTTGCGTTTACATTTTAAACAATGCACCACAGGATATGAAATATCAAATTTGTGTGTAATAGAAGATGAGAACAACAGTGTATTAGTAACGAGGAAAGGAAAACAAAATCTAATGAGGCTATTTATTAGAGTGTCGCAGTAAGTTGATCGTGTCATACCTAACGGATTTCTCATCACATAACAGCTGTGCCAGATATGGTATTACGGAGATTTTGTGTTTGGTAGTCCTAGCATATAGCCTTCTACAGCTGCTTCTAGTTCTACAAGATGAAATACAAGGATAGAGCTTTATATAGAGAGGATGCTCGGGGTCTGACAATATTGTATTCGCTAGTTTCTTACATGACATTGTATATGTCTATCCACAAAAGTGTTTACGATATCCCACTTGCCCTTCTAACGGCTTTTAGTGCCCTTCTGAGCAAAGCAGTCTTTCTTAAGTAGTCCAGGAAAGATTAATGGGGAGCAGTAAAGGGGGATGGGTAAGATACAAGTATTTACAAACTGAGAAAGCAAAGACTGCTTTATGCCAGACTGACTAAATTTCCTAATGTAGAAAGTTAAGCGAAACATCTTTCTAATAACTAGCAAGCTTATTGTGTGATTTTGTTCTCAGTGCTCGGCTTTTACCATCCCGAAGCGTGATTATAACTGAAAATCGAAATTCAACAAGGCTGTATTGAATCGGCCTACTCGAATGTGTGGAAATTATTTATGACGACGCTCATTTACAGTTTCTACCTCCTAACGTTTTCCAGTTTGATTCATTCTTTGATTGGAACGCGCTTCGAATGAAAAGAGTTTAACTGTACATGATGTATTGTCGATAACTATTCCACATCTAAATTTGCAACAAAATCATGAGTAGAACGAATCATTTGAAAAAAGGTGGATTTATGGAGTGAAAATGTGGAACTGTTATTCACACTTATTTCAATAAAAATTAAGGTTTTCAAAATGCAATACATAAACATACAGATGACTCTATATTGTGTGTGATAAATAATGTCACTGTGAAACCGAATTTTTTAATTTTTTACGAATACAAATATGCGTAACATTCGATTGGTGTTAACGTCTACGAAAAGTGTCATCCTTCAAAAGGAACATTTTTATTTTTGAAAATGTTATAATGAATCGCTGAATGGGAAGCGAAAACCAAAAAACTGAAGAGTAATACACAATTGTTAGTCATTGAACGATACAGTTGACGGAAATCGATTCAATAGAGTTTTTGAAAATATTTCATGATGATGAAAATAAAGAGGGTGAAACAAATCAGCTTGAGATTCAATTTGATCTGTGTTGTTGAATTGCAGAGTTCAGATTCACAGCAGTAGATGTCAGTATATGCAATACTAGGGAGACCTTCACAGGAACCTACGCATGATCTTGTAACTACTTTCATTGGTTTTGTTGTAACAGCTTTCTGCAAGGAGAGAAATAAAAAGGTTCAAAGTAATTCTCAGAAGTGGATTCACCTAATCGAATGACATAAATATTTACGGGCGTTTTTTCCTATGTCAGAAGAAAGTGAAAGTGGAATTTAGTTTTTCAGTGAACAAGTGTTAGCGATGATTAAAAAGAAATTAGTGAATTGATGAATAATCATTTACTTATTAAGATTATCTCACTGGAATATATAGATTAATGGTACTCATTAGGCTGCAATATCTGGCGTCAACATATCTGTCAGTGAATTCGAGTAAAGTGTGGACATTCCAAACCACAATACTAATAAGTGACGGAAATATCCCTCAGAGTGACTCGAGTTTCTCTGAGATACTCAGAATTTTTACAAATCTTCCTGCTTCTCCACAGTTATACCACATACACATACCACTCTCTCAAGTCAGTGATTTGAGAGGAGTTACCGAAGTCGTGAGATGAATAGTGTGCTTCATCTGACACTGTCAAGTTGAGTTCACATTCACTTGTCATCGTCATTGATGAGATATAGTCGAACAAGGCTGTACATCAGCATTACGTAGAATGTGTGAGAATATGATTTGTTTACTAGGTGTGCACCACATCACCATTGCATGCAATTTACCACAGTCAGGAGAGATTGTTTTCAACTCTAGATTCTGACATTACAGCTATCCATCCTGTGTGGAAACACGCATGACTCTGGATAGAACATATATGAGTGAGTGAGGGAGTACAGTGCCACCACCAGTGAATATCAGATGATGTCAAGTTACACAGTGAACCATTGAAATCGTTTCCTGACTGAAATCGTCTTAGTTGGATGCAGTCGAATACCATCGAAATGGAAATTTCAGTGTCTGATAGATTATTGAATCTCTTGTGTAGGTGTGATGATGAACTTCAAAATAACTGAGACAAATACATGAGTGTCTTATGTAGGCTGTGTACAATGTTATAAATAGAAATGCATAAATCTTACAGCACAAGCTCCACAGTTCTGTTTCTTCGGGGTGTTTCTATCCACTTTATCACAGTTGGTACATTGATAACATTGTAGCTTTCCTGTGTAGTAGAAAAGGTTAAATTTCGCATTGTGAATTGTTTGTATGCAAAATTTGTAACAATAATGAAGACCAGAGTGAGGATGTGCTGTTACTGATAAAGTATAATGAAATCCCTGTCTTTCGATATTCATCTCATGTTATTTGGTGATGTATGCAACATGAATGGAGAATATACGAGGGGTGTTGTGTTTACAGGTAGGGAAGAAGGAGCATAAATAATTAAGCGATGTCAATGTTTACCTCAATGATTTTCAAAGTTATCACGATATTTATTCTTTAGCATTGACCATTTGCCCTATAGCATCGAAGGCACAGCGTTTAGGACGCTGGCCGACCATGACATGGCCCAGGGTTCGATCCACGCCGGACGCACTCCTTTATCTCGCCATAAATAACGCTGGTAAAGAGAAAAGGTTGGACTTGATGCTAGCAACCCCATTCGTTAAAAATAAACACTTCTACAGAAACATCAAGCCACTAGGCTGAAGCCCTATGTTCCTCTGGGAACGTGAAGGAAAAATTAAATTTATTTATTACTGGCATATTGCATTTGTATTTTCCGCTTAAATAACAACGTGTGATTCATATTTAGACATAAAACAGAGCGAAACATTCACTTCATTTTCTCTATCTCAACTTTTTCCACTCGTATTTACACGATCGTCCTCAAAATGCTAATTTCAATCCTACTCCTAAAGGAATCCTACTGTTGAATATATGTGCACAGTGGGAACTCGAAAAATTCATTCACTCCCAACATTCTCCTATGTCTATTCGATTTCGAAATGAGATGTCAGCAAGTTGGAAGTGAATTCGAAAAATTAATTAAATAAATATTAAAATAAAATTTACCCATATGGAAGACATGTGACAGCAACTTTCTGACTTGAGTTCCTAAACCCTCCTCCTTAGCTGAAACTAAAATCAAGTAATAATGAATATATAATTTGTGAATATTTTTTCCAGATATCTGTAAAAGTTCAAATGGTTAACACACACTCACACTTAACACTGCTTGACTCATTGGTGATTCCCATTTTAATGTTAGGCAGGTTTTGAAAATCTATCCTTTCTGCTGATGGGATTTGATGCTCTTGCGTTATAAAATACATGATGATAATATTCACAACACATAATGTCTACCATGTCTTGGAAAGCTTACGAGTTTCTCGTCTATCGAATTCGTTGAATAACCATTCACTTGAAAGTTGCGTTTCAAAGCTTTGATGAGGAGTTGAAATCAATCAATATGGTGGTGATATAGACCTTCCGCGTACTATTCTCATTTATCATCCAATATCAACATTGCATCTGTTATTACAACGGTGAATAACAAATATTGAATAATCCATTTTGAACTGCATATTGTGAGTGTATGTAACTCTCGTGGAACCAAAGACATATAACAAACATTACACATGGAATAATTATATTTTACAAGTACTGTGGGAAATTTCAGAAACAATACTGAGTGTGTCTCCAACATACTTGACATGTCTATCTTCGTCGCATTTCAACAATCAAATCAAACATCGATGGATTCTACGCCACTGCTTTCTGCGTGTGAAACAGTGATTCGAAATAAGGATCACTCTTTACTGGTTACCATGAAACTGATTCGTAATACATTCGTAATTATGTATACTACAAATGGTGATGGATGCGTTTTGAAGCACATAATCTGAGCATAAATAACTGAACTAGGTTTTTTGTGACACTTACGCAATAGACAAAATATGTCTACTACAAATTCAGGACTAGGTGTTTGCTGCATTTCACCAATTGACACACATGTCGAATGGAATCATTTCACTCATTTTCATCCCTTATGAAATGATTACCAGTAGAACTGATTTCATACTGGTCAGTGTGAAATGGAGTCATAATTCGCTAATCCGTAAACCTTTTGAATTCTTATCTACCTTGATGTCGATTCCATGTCAGCCCTCATTCAAATTCACCAACACTTGTGGTCAACAAATTACACAGATAGGTGAAGATGAAGTTCTCTAGAGTAAATGTGGAAATTACATACACGAGAAGGGTGTTTTGTCAATGACTGAAGGAGGTGTTGACCACAAGTGATTTATTCGCCATGATCATCGATGTGATCACAAGTGAAGTATACATATATTAAACAAACTTATTGGATATGAAGTAAAACGACTCGTCAAGATGTGATTAGACTTACCTGATTCCACATGTGAGGTAATCACTACAAACAGGAATACCGAGACAGCCAGCATCACTGATTTACAACGCCCAATTTGAATTCTTATTATTGATGTGGAGTTTATTTCACACACATTCAGCTCTTATATACTTTCTGAAATCGGCTGCTTCAACTATTTTTTAATGTGTTGAACATTATACGAATGTTAGTATTACGCATACGTAAAGTGATGTGCAATACTGATTTATCAATGCGTGTGTGTCTGTATGCATTTTTCGAAGTTGGTGCTTTTTTCATGACTATTTTGACAGTGAAAATATGTGGAAGTCATTTTCATTGAGTAATGCAACCTACACTGGCATAGCTACAATATCACATGCGTTGATGACGAAGAGTAGTGATACCAGTTACCTACTGATTAGAAGTGAAACGCATTTCAATTTCTTGTCAAAAGCTTACTTCTCACTGTGATGCATTTATTTGAGAACACATAATAATTTAAGTCGACTGTGTTTCGGAAGTTTAGAATTTCAACCTACTCTTAAAATAATGATAAAATTAATGTGAGCCAATCCATCGTGGGCTGTGAAACAGTTTGTGCCTGCATGAACACTGTCTGTCTGTCTGGATTCAACATAGAACTTGGCACCGAAGTGCAGCAGTTCGAGTTGCCACGTTCCAAATAGCACACACAGGTAGACAAGAAGATGAGTGAAGAGAATCACCAGAGTTTGACAAGTATAAGAGTGAAACAGAATGGGTAATGGTAGAAAGGAATATGAAAGATTACAGAGACTGAATACATCTGCGCCATTGACAGCGATTTTGAGCCATGTCACCTATTGTCTCCAGCCATTGATTCCTAGAGTCATGAACACTGCACAGTGCATTACACTAAATCTGTGTTAACTTCATTCAACAGCTATGTGATGATGGAACAGGTGAAGTGAATGACAACAGAAAACAGCGAAACCTTGGAGGTGAAACAAGAATAAGCGAAGGGTGGCTGTCATCATCCACGATATTTCTGATTGTTGTTGAGTGGAACATGCGACAGACCATGAGGAGTGAGCACATAGGAGTTGGTTGGAATGACAAGAAGATTCCAGGATATCTGAACTTCGTGGATCATTCGTATCCAATCTCACACTAAATCGGTGATCTATACATGGAAACCCACAATCAGGAAAAAGAGGAAGGCGGAGGAAGGATAATTTGAAGTGAGCATGGAAGAGGTGGTTGTTATGAAGACACCTAGTCAACAACAAAAACAACAACAACGACAATAATGAAAACAGCACAAATCATCACGAACAGGAGAAATCTGATGTAGGCCGCCTGTTTCACTTAGTCAGACATCACAGGTGTGGACGTCATAGGTGAGCTGAGAAGATAAGTTAAGGACTGCATCAATCTGAAATCAGTGTGGAAATCGACTGGAATCAACACCAGGAATATCATTGAAGTATTGAGTAGTACTGACAAATCAGTTGTTCTACACGCTTCGGAGACGTGGTTTGTCATGTGAAATATTTGCAAGCAGCTTCAGTAGTTCATCAACAGCTGCCTTCACTTTATTTGTTGAAATGATTGAATTGTAGGTCTGGAGGAATAAGCATGAAGTAACTTTGAAAACAAATGAAACATCTGGCGAAGGAAATAAAGACAGACCAGAAATACACCGGAGAGACTGTTAAATGACATCACGAACCTAGTAATCGAGCGGAATCAAAACGAGAAAGATAAATTTGGCTTTTTAGAGTAGCAAAGAGGGAGTTGTGTGAGGACAAAGTCTAGAACCTAACTTGTGTGAATCCAGAGAATATGATGAAATGGGGGGCGTTTAGTCGAACCGCTAATTTCCCATTGGATTATATGAGCATGAAATGATATCTTTTCGAAAGAATTCGAGCGGAGGAACAATATCAACCGATGAACTCGAAGGCGAGTATTTCTCCTCACACCTGACCTACTGCACGCTACTGGTCACGACTTCTCACTAGAACCTCAGTTAACTTCCAAACTTCCCTATTCAGGCAGGTAGTTACCTGGAGTTCTCGCAGAAGACATTCGCTAGGGTTGTCGCGATATGTCATGAATTGGGAGAAGTTAGAATTCATGGGCTAACCAGGAAGGGGTTGTGCGAGGACAAAATCTAAAACCCGAATTATGGGAATTCAGGTAACAGGATGAAATGGAGGCGTTCAGCTGAAGCGTTACGTTCCAATCGGTATATATGAGAATAAAATGATATCTCTTTGGAAACATACGAGTTGAGGAAGAATATTCAACAATGTTCTCCAGGGCTTTATTTTCATTCGATTGAATCAATCACGAAATATAAAGTATTAGATTAACTGAAGATTTGACAGTGGCTAAACTACTTTCGTTTGAACCACTATACAAACTGTCCTATCTGAATGGAAAATCACTCGTTGCAGAAAGTGTGTGACTTCTCAGCCAAAACACTCACATAATGGTGATTTTGAAAATATCGAATGCGATTTATTACTGTCCAGGCCTCATTATTCTCACAACGAAATACAATATTGCTTTGTGAAGAATCGCTGCATTAGATTCACAGTGAACTTATCAGGATTCAAGTCAAAGCATGACCAACCAACAACAACAACAGCAGCAACATCCAGCGTCAGTCACCATCAACGGGAGGGATTTGAAAGGGGTTACTTCATTCACTTATCTAAGGATCATGGTCTCAACTACAGGGGGAACGGACGAGGATGTCAAATCGAGCGAGAATCGGAAAGGCGAGAAACACATTCATCAACCTGAAACCAATCTGGAAATCCTCGTCACTCAGCATCAACAACAAAATTCGGTCGGATTTTCAATACAAACGTCAAGTGAGTCAGTTCCTCTATACGGATCAGAAACTTGGCGGGTGGTTCACACGGAATATTTCCAACAACCTGTTGCAGACCTTCATCAACAACTGTCTTTGCTGGATCTATACTGAAGATCAGATGGCCGGACCGGAAAGAATCATCAAAAAGAAACTATATCTGGGAGCAAACAAAACAAGAACCAATCCCCAACCAACAAATATGCAGGAGAAAGTGGAGATGGATTGGACACTCGCTGAGGAGGCCGCTCGGTGACATCGCGCGTCAAGCCGAAAGAGAATGCGGCGAGTGGGATATCCAAGGGTGATCGTGTGAAGAGGAGTTAAAACAGTACGGACCAATATGAATGTAGGTGAAACGTACAGCAGAAGACAGAAGCATGTGTAGACGTGCAGTTGAAACCCTATGTTTCACTAGGTACTCAGGGGAACAATAATAATAAATATTATTGAGAGGTGATTGAGGACAGAAGATTTGGTCAGTCGCGACACATTCACCAAGTCCCGTATTTCGATATCTGCGTTGTGACCGAATGACCGCTGTGTAAGATGAAATAAGAGAGTAGACTCCAATGTGCCAGTACCCGTTCCCGCTCTAATTAAAAGCATTTGTGAAATCGAGAAATACAATCTCATATATGGTGGACGAATTCCACTTCTTTCCGAAGATGACGATGTAAGCGTAAGTGGACAGATACATTGAGGTCCTGTTTACTCACACAAATTAATTCAGACTTCTTCTATGTGCTGACTGAAGACAGTATTTCTCATGCAGCGTGTCGAAACGAAACTACTCTTTCAGTAATTACGTGAACAACAGCCTTCTTATCATTCCAAATATTACATCCAGATACAGCTGAAAAAATGCTCAAAGTATCGTTCTTCATGATAAACTTGAGAGTGATATTCAGGGTAACAAAATGTAATTCGAGAATCCATTCATCATTGAGACTGAATCGACCTATGTAAAATAACTCCAAATTTATGTTTATTCATATTTGTGTCATTTTGTGTAAATGTAAAAATAAAACACTACACCAGTCCATAAGCAGTATATTGTGGCTCTGCTGTTACATGAAATGAAGTAGTCTGTCGTCAGAATTCCATTGCTTTAAAGATTTCATGTCAGGAATGGGCGTTTAGCACCGAGTAGACTAAGATTATATGTTATGGTGGGTAAAGATTATAATTAGGGCCTCAATTAAGGACACAATTTCGCCTTAATATCAGGTTTGGGTGTCTCGAGGATGTCGGCAAGTACGTTCGTCTTGATCATCATTCTTCCATGTTGACGAATGCTGTAACTAAATGAGTGAATTTGTTGATGATTCGCGGTGACTGTTTTGATCGCAATCGTTGTTGAATACAAAGTGTGCATGTGTAAACGACACGGTCGGAGAATGTTGGTCAGGAGGTGGAGCGTTTATTTGATCGAAGTGAGAGGACAGTACGCTCGAATTATTAATGCAATCACGTTGCTATTTTACGACGTGGAATTTGTCTAGACTGTTCTCATGCACAGGGAATGCGTGATAGTCACATCTACACAGGTTGATAGACACTGAGTATATTTTGTGTTGGTGATTATTTGTAGAAGAATTCCTCATCACATATTCACAAATTCAATATCACCTCCCCACATAAGTTCTTCACAGTGTGTGTTTGTTGATATCGGAAGCACTGATTGTTTGTTGGTCACTTGATTTTACTAGTCAAGGTGATTATTTGGAGATAGTGAGGCATTTCATGAATGAATCACATTTATTTCATGCAGTGATTTATCAGATACTACTTTTCTTCAACACATTGCTCTGAAGTCGTATTGTCTGAGCCAAGAGTTGTAGACACGAATCTTTCGATATCCTTTTAGATAACATCTTCACCTCCTAATTCGCTGTGAAGTGAGTTTTCTTCAGAATTCCCTATGAGTGAAATAACTACCTCTCCTGGTGACTTTGACTGCGATTAGGTATCCTTCAAGGTTCACTTACTCATGTTTATTCGTATCAACATCTACTGTCTCATTGAAATGGAATTCGATGATCGCATCATTTTCTTTATGTGGCTTCTTAATAAACAAAGTCTACAACGACATCAAATTCACAAGAGAAGAGGAATCCGAGAACAAAATACCATTTTTGGACGTCTTGGTCAGGCGAACAACTGCAGGGGAATTAGAAACTCAAGTTTATAGAAAATCAACTCACACA